GTTAGGCAATTTTCCACAAAACCTGAACAGTGAGCTAGTGCCTTTTTTTTTCAAATGTCCTTATAGTTTGCAAAAGTTCAAATTATTTAATTGCCTTACAGACTGCCTCACATAATACATTTGGTTATTTGACACTTGTGGGTTGTAGATGATTGCCAACTACTAAAAATTTTTTAAAGGAAGGTTAATGCAGTGGTTCTTAGTGGATGATTTTACTCCCAACTAGATATTTGGCAGTGTCTGGAGACATTCTTGATCGTCACAAGCTGAGGAAGGGGAAGTGCTCCCGGCATTTAGTGAGTAGAGGGCCTAGGGACACTGCTGAAGTGTCAGCCCCCACGACAAAGAAAATGTCAACAGTGCCCAGAGTTCAGAAACTGTGGGTTAACTGAATAAATTAGGACACGAAAACATGTGTTAATGCAGCAGGCACAGGGCTAGTTTCTGTGGATACAAAGAGTAAGACAAAAGCATGCAGTCTGGAGTCCCAGATCCCTGGGTTCTATTCTTGGCTCCATCATTTACTAGTAATGCAATCTTGGGCAAACAGTGTAACTTTTCTGTTGCAAAACAGAGCCGGGTCCACTTCTCTCAGTTACTGGGAGGATCACAGGAGACAATATAGGTAAGGTAGCATCAGTACCCAGCAATGAACAGATGTACAACTCAAAACAAAGTGGGAAACTGTCACAATCTAGGAGAGCCTAAGGACTGGATGTAATGTAATATCCTGAACGGGATCCTGGAACAGAAAAAGAACATTAGGCAAAAATTAAGGAAATCTTGGGGCGCCTGGGTGGCTCAGTAGGTTAAGTCAGCTCAGGTCATGATCCTGGAGTCCTGGGATTGAGTCCCGCATCGGGCTCCCTGCTCAGCAGGGAGTCTGCTTCTCCCTCTGACCCTCCCCCCTCTCATGCTCTCTCTCTCTCAAATAAATAAAAAATCTTTAAAAAAAAATTAAGGAAATCTGAATAAAGTATGGACTTCAGTTAATAATTATGTGTTAACATTGGTTCATTAATTGTGACAAATGTACTATACTAATGTAAGATGTTAATAATAAGGGAAAATGAGTAAAGGACATGTGGGTGGGAAATCTATATACAAACTTCATGACTTTTTTGTAAACCTAAATCTATTCTAAAATTCTAAGTTTGGGGCGCCTGATTGGCTCAGTCATTAGGCGTCTGTCTTCAGCTCAGGTGATCACGGGGTCCTGGGATCGAGCCCAGCATCAGGATCCCTGCTCAGCGGGAAGCCTGCTTCTCCCTCTCACACTCCCCCTTCTTGTCTTCCCTCTCTCGCTGTCTCTCTGTCAAATAAATAAAATCTTAAAAACAAAAAGAAAAAAAAGAAAATTCTAAAAGTTTATTTAAAAAGTAAAAAGGGGCACCTGGGTGGCTTAGTCGGTTAAGCGTCCGCCTTTGGCTTAGGTCATGATCCCGGAGTCCGGGCATTGAGTCGCACATCGGGCTCCCCGCTCAGTAGGGAGTCTTCTTCTCCCTCTGCCCTTCACCTTGCTTGTGCTCTCTCTCACTTGCTCTCTCAAATAAATATTTTTTTAAAAATTAAAAATAAAAAAATAAAAAGTGAAAAAGAAAGGTATTTTACTTCTTCTTCCTTCCTCTGACCTAAGGGGACAGAGTCCCTACCTTCAAAGAGTTTATCCTTTAACTATTCGTACCACCTGATGATGTCAAGCTTTAAACAGAATTCAGTAAATAAAGACTGCTAGCAGATAAGACCAAGATGTGTCACATACCAGAGGATTTAACTCTTCATCAGAAAATAATATATAAATCCTAAGTCATTTAGGGGCACCTGGGTGGCTCAGTCGTTAAGCATCTGCCTTCGGCTCAGGTCATGATCCCAGCGTCCTGGGATCAAGCCCCGCATCGAGCCCCACATCGGGCTCCCTGCTCGGCGGGAAGCCTGCTTCTCCCTCTCACACTCCCCCTGCTTGTCTTCCCTCTCTCTCTGTGTCTCTGTCAAATAAATAAAATCTTAAAAAAATAATAATCTATATAAAAAAAAATCCTAAGTCATTTAGTGGCTCAGTCAGTTGAGTGCCTGCCTTCAGCTCCAGTCATGATCTTGGGGTCCTGGGATTGGTCCTGCTCAGCAGGAGGCCTGCTTCTCCCACTCCCTCTGCTCCTCCCTCCATTCATGTGTGCTCTCTCTGCTCTCTCTCAAATGAATAAAATCTTTTTTTTTTTAAAGATTTTATTTATTTGACAGAGAGAGACACAGCTAGAGAGGGAACACAAGCAGGGGGAGTGGGAGAGGGAGAAGCAGGCTTCCTGTGGAGCAGGGAGCCCGAGGGAGGGCTTGATCCCAGGACCCTGGGATCATGACCTGAGCCGAAGGCAGACACTTAACGACTGAGCCACCCAGGCACCCCAAATAAATAAATAAAATCTTTAAAAAATTAAAAAACATCTTAAGTCATTTAGGATTAAAGATAATTTTTTTTTAAGATTTTATTTATTTATTTGAGACAGAATGAGAGAGAGAGAGAGAGCACATGAGAAGGGGGAGGGTCAGAGGGAGAAGCAGGCTCCCTGACGAGCAGGGAGCCCGATGCGGGACTCGATCCAGGGACTCCAGGATCATGACCTGAGCCGAAGGCAGTCGCTTAACCAACTGAGCCACCCAGGCGCCCCAAAGAGAATTTTTTTAAAATTTTATTTTATTATGTTATGTTAATCACCATACATCATTGGTTTTTGATGTAGTGTTCCATGATTCATTGTTTGCGTATAACGCCCAGCACTCCATTCAATACGTGCCCTCTTTAATACTCATCACCAGGCTAACCCATCCCCCCACCCCCCTCCCCTCTAGAACCCTCAGTTTGTTTCTCAGAGTCCATTGTCTCTCATGGTTCGTCTCTCCCTCCGATTTCCCCCCCTTCATTCTTCCCTTCCTACTATCTTCTTCTTTTTTTTTTAACATATAATGTATTATTTGTTTCAGAATTTTAGAATTTTTTTCAAGAGGTTTTAAAATGGTACAGAATTGTCAAGACCAACAAAAAGAACTACATCGATTGGATATTAACCAAAACCTTATGAAAATACATAAATGTAAAGAACTGAGTTTTGGGTATTCAAATAGGCAGCTGTGACTGAGTGGCAAAAACTTGCTATACAATCATACCAATATGCAATGCTTTTACTGCATATTGGTTTTAGTAGTCCAAAGTTTGTTTTCCTCTTACATGGTATTAGAGATGTCAGGCTGAAGCCTGAGACTGCCTCTAAAAAGAAGGCTGCAAGTAGGTAAAATATGTAAAAGAAATCTCTTCTAATAAGAACAACTTTAGGGGCGCCTGGGTGGCTCAGTCGTTAAGTGTCTGCCTTCGGCTCAGGTCATGATCCCAGGGTCCTGGGATCGAGCCCCTCATCCGGCTCCCTGCTCAGCAGGAAGCCTGCTTCTCCCTCTCCCACATCCCTGCTTGTGTTCCCTCTCTCGCTGTGTCTCTCTCTGTCAAATAAATAAATAAAATCTTAAAAAAAAAAAAAAAAACAACTTTAAAACAGATTAAGAGAAGTATCCACAAAAGTAGGCATTGGCCCCCACTTTACTGCATACAGATTAATGAGACAGCATATGGGAAGTACTTTGAGCTCTCTGGAAAAGTGATACCAGGTGAATTCAAAGAATTAGGTTACAGTATGAAGGGATAACAGGGTAACACACCACTTTCTTGTTCGTCTATATTAAAAGGCAAATATCTTCGAAGTAAGTGCCGAAGTTTAGCTTATAGCATTCATATCTTCTACCTAAATCAGGTCCCTGGTCATTACAGCCCCTTTAGGGCGTGGAAGAGTAACTATTCAGTAGAGAACGAAGTGTACAAAGCTGCTTGCCAGAGCACAAAGAAAGCCAATAGCAAGGAACCAAGAAGCACGGGCTCCTATTACTGTGCTCCCTGGGACTGTGACAGGGAACTAAAGGGTGGAAGAGGGATTAACAAATGCTAACAGGTAGGGTTCCAACCCTAGCAAGCAAAACAAATGAAAAAAAGGCAGTGGGCCCTTCTCTGCCCACTGCACCTGCCGAGCAGGAAACTGGTCTTTTCCTTGGGTTCAAATCTGCTAACCAGCACTTCAGCTCTTCCCTCTGACAGTCACCTACTTAATTTTGAATACATATTCCCTTATGCCATCTAAGAACCTGTTCACAAAAGCCCAAAGCTCAGAACTGGTATTTCAGCTGTTAGAGAAGACAGGGTGCTATGGTTCTAATCACACAAAAGTTGGCAATTTCACTCAGACAGTAAGCCTAAAGATTTCCCAAGACTGTTTCCAATTTTGAATTCTCAAATGATGAATGAATCCCTCCTCTTCAAAATGCAAAACAAAGAGAAATTCTGAATGTAGCCATCATATGCTTATCTGAATCCTTCAAATTGGGGCAGAAGAAGGTCAATATTATGATTGTTCCTAGAAAAGTAGTTTTTTATCACAATTTATCATTAGTATTTTGAAGTTCAAAAGGAACATTAGTAATTATAAGTCAACACAAGACTGGAGCCATTGAGATGCACCCAAATGACCTAAGTCACTGACTACTGTTATCTTGAGGAAGGAGTCAGTTTCACTGGTTGGTATTTTCCAAAGGAAAAGTTTCTGTCAGATAGGGAACCTATAACACCCCACGCAGCAGATACAGAAAGGGGGAAAGGTTTAACTTATCTAGAAAGAAAAAGGAAAAAAAAAAAAAAAAAAAAAGCTGTGTTGTCTGAATATCTTTATTTACTGAGTTGTAATATGCTAGGAACAGAATTTTAGAACTGATCATCCATTCCGTTCATTTGTTTGGATATTCAAAGAAAGCAAAAGGCTAAGCAAACTACCCCCAAGGATATGATTAAGCTGGTGGCAGAATTCACCAACGTCTCTCCTAATGTCATATAACCACTAAAAAAAAAAAAAAAGTCCAAAACTTCTATTCACTGAAATACTGCTTATCCAGAAAATTTAACGAACAAATACTTTTTATGCCAGGTTCCTTCCCGTCGAACAAAAACCACTCATCACCCCCAGGATGTCTGGAGAACAGAGGGGGCAAGAGAGGCGCTGGTTCCCTGGCCATATTGTGGAGTCGAGGTTTGCGGATGAGACGCAAGGCAAAGAGCCATCCAAGTCCAGATACGCGCGCTACGAGTAACGACGTGGAGCGTGTCTGGAGACCTAGTGAGAGCGCCTGGCACGCAGCGGGCCACTGACGAGCGCGCGGCGAAGTTCAAGTTGGGGAACTAAGGAAAGAGCTGGGCTGAGAGGGCGGCGGAGTCTGCCGGCCGAAGCCCACCCACGGGAGAGGGACCCAATTCGCCGCCACGACGAGGTGCTGGCCTGAGTGGCTACAGACGCGCCGAGCCCGCTGGACCCGGCGGGGTCCCGGTCCCGCGCGAGAACCGCAGCCTGAGCGCCACCCCGCCCCCGCCCCCGGCCCGCCCCGGGACCCCCACACGCCCCCGACAGCGGTCCTCAGCCCCTACCCGGAGGCCTCTGCGCCGGGCTGTGGCGAGCCGAGAGGTTCAGCGCCGCCGCCTTCTCCCGCACCGTGGCCATTACCGTGCCCGCCAGGTCACCACCTCCACCGACCGCGGCACCGCGGAGTGGGCGCCCGCCCCTCGGCGGCCGGTTAACTGGCCCGGGACGGGGCGGGGCTCCCGTCAGGTCCCGCCCCCGGCCCGCCCAGGGCGCCGCGCGCCACACTCCACGGGTCACGTGCCTGCCGGGGCGGTGTGTAACCTGCAGCCCCGCGGGCCGGGAAAAGGTGCGGCCCACGCCCTCCTGGGCTGCGCTGTGCGGTCGTGACGTGGGCGGTAGCCAAGGAGGGAGCGTTTCAGTGTGGGCCGCAGGACCGGCGCCAGCACCTACGCGGCCCGCTTCCCACCGTTGCTCGGCGTCTCCCCGGCGCCGGCGGCAGTTAGCGCCCCGCAGGCTCAGGCCACCTGGGTGCCTACCATGTCCCACCGTGGATTAGCTCTGGGACTCGGCAAGTGGCTTAACTGCTCTGTGCCTCAGTGCCCTACCTGTGGCGTGGAGTTTGGGTTTTGTTTGTTCTTTGTGTTTAAGTAGGCTCCACACCCAGCGTGGACCGCGACGGGGCTTGAACTCAGGACCCTGCGATCAAGACCTGAGCTGAGACTGAGTCCGAAGCTTACCGACTGAGCCACCCCGGTCGCCCCTGGTGTGGAGTTTTTTGTTGTTGATGTTGGGGTTTTTGTTTTTGTTTTGGAAGATTTTATTTATTTATTTGAGAGAGATAGAGAGCAGGGTTTGGAGCAGAGGGAGAGGGAGATAATCTCTAGCAGATTCTGGGCTGGGTGCAGAGCCCATCCCACGACCCCAAGAATATGACCTGAGCAGAAATGAAGAGTCCGAAACTTAACCAGTTGAGCCACCGGGGTACCCCTGGTGTGGAGTTTTTTAATGAAGATTACACAAGCTAATTCATGTTCAGAATTTTAGTAGTTGGTTCTGAAAGGTTAGTGCTTAAAATTATGTCATGATGACAAATGCACTGAGTTTTTCACGCATCCCTCCCTGTAAAAAAACAAATCTTTATCTGGCCCAGGAGAGCAATGTCTAGAGGTCATGGTTAGGAGGGCAGCTGGCTGGCCATGGGGCTGACTGCCAAGGAAATCGGTGTCGTCTCCAAAGTAACTCTGGGTCAGGAGAGTAGGGACAGAGTTTGCTATGCAAAGAGAGTGAAGGCTAGGAAAGATGGAAGGAAGGGTTGTGAACGGGAATTTGAAGCTAGGGAATCCAGGGGTTCACTGCTGGGGTACTTCTGAAAGGCTGAATGATCTAAGGGACCAGTAATTCAACTGCCGGATACTTGCCCAATTTTTCAAATTTGGGTATTTTGTAATGATTTTAAACCTTTGGTACATAGAATGTTTGGTTAGAAGGAGGATGCCTGTGTGATCAGGTTGTAAATTAGAATATTTTAAGGTGGGAATTCATTAGCTTATTGGAAGAAGCTCCTACATGTGGTTCAAAGAATACAACACTAAAAATACATACATGTGGTTGTTTCAAAGAATACAAACTTTAGAAGCTGTGACCCTAGAACCCCAGTTTAGTGCCTGGGACTCCGGCAATTGCTGTTCTGAAGATTCAGAAAAGGTTGCCAACTGGTTAGTCCTTTTTTAATATGCTCTCTCCCCCTGGTGGTTGTAAAACCTGGCCTCACTTCTTTTTTTTTTTTTTTTTTTTAAAGATTTTATTTATTTATTTGACAGAGAGAGACACAGCGAGAGAGGGAACACAAGCAGGGGGAGGGGGAGAGGGAGAAGCAGGCTTCCCGCGGAGCAGGGAGCCCGATGCGGGGCTCCATCCCAGGACCCTGAGATCATGACCTGAACCGAAGGCAGATGCTTAACGACTGAGCCACCCAGGCGCCCCCTGGCCTCACTTCTGTTCAAGGAATTTCCTCTGTAATTTCTTAGTTGGTTCCTGCTTGCAGGAATAAGATACAATTTAGGACCAGTTTCAGGCATTCAATAGACCAGATAGTTAACTTTAGTCATCCCAGGCTGCATAATTGAATAAAAACACGTGTTCATCCTCACTGCTTGGGAGAGAAAAAAACCCCTACCAAACTCTGAAAACAAGTCTTAACAAACACTAGTATTGAGTCTTTTGAAAAAGACAGGTGACCTTAATGACCATTTTGACAATTTATATACCATTTCAAATAATTTTTACCAGCTTGTGCTATATTTGTTTATCTCACCTGAAATGCTGTATTTCCTCTTCTCTACCTAACCACAGTCTGTGCACCTTGGAGGCCTAACTCAAAACCCACCTTGTTCACTAGACAGGTTGTACTCTGATATATTCCCTCTCTGACCACCGAAGGCACTTACCAAGTACATTACTATTTAGTGCACCCTCCTCCAGCTTGTACAGATATTACCTAATGCTTTCAACACACACATGTTGATTGCCTAACAAAATTGGAAAATTGTACAGGGCAGAGAGCATACTTTAATTTTCCAGATTTCTTTTAGTAGCTAATGTTAGGCATATAATAATAGATATCTTAATTATTCTTATATCAAAATACAGAGTTTAAAGAAATAACAGCTTTACAACCTAAGTGTCCATCAATAGATGATAAAGAGGAAGTAGTATATATATATATAGTATATATGCTTACTTAAAAGAGAAAGAGAGAGAGAAAATAAATATCACAGTCTAAAATAAAATTTTCTAGGGGCGCCTGGGTGGCTCAGTTGTTAAGCGTCTGCCTTCGGCTCGGGTCATGATCCCAGACTCCTGGGATGGAGCCCCACGTCGGGCTCCCTGCTCAGCAGGAAGCCTGCTTTTCCCTCTCCCACTCCCTCTCTCGCTGTGTCTCTGTCAAATAAATAAAAATCTTAAAAAATAAAATAAAATTTTCTACTCATAATGGTTTCTACCATTATACTTTAAAAAAAAAATGCAGATTCCTGCCCCCACCCCACTTTTTGATTTCCTGCTTCTAGTATGATGTTCCTGACAATCTCCATAATTTTTTAGATTATGGTAAAAATACACAAATCTTCATCATATTTAACATGCACCACTGATACTTATAATGCAAAATGTCAGTGAAATACTACTCTAAAATCTTAAAGTTTCCTTTTTCCTGATAGAACTTTTTTCATAGAATGTAAATTCCAAGACCACAGAAATTTTTGTCTTTTCACTACTGTATTCTCAGCACTTAGTTCAGAAGCTAGTTTGTAGTTAGTTATCAACAATTTTTGTGAATGCCTGAAAAAAAAATATTTCAGATGCAGTAACTATCAAGCAAAAAAATCCATCCAAAATGTATAATTTTCTCTATACATAGAATACTTGATATAATGGTATTATCCTAAGTTTTTAAAATTTTTATTTATTATTATTTTTGAAAGATTTTAAGTAATCTCTACACCCAATGTGGGGCTTGAACTGACAACCCCTGAGATCAAGAGTCACAAGCTTTACCCACTGAGCCAGCCAGGCAACCCCTAAGTTTTTTGTTGTTGTTTTTTTAAGATTTTATTTATTTATTTGACAGAGAGAGAGGAAGAGAGGGAACACAAGCAGGGGAGTGGGAGAGGGAGAAGCAGGCTTCCCACCCAGCAGGGAGGCCGACTCAGGGCTTGATCCCAGGACCCTGGGATCATGACCTGAGCCGAAGGCTGATGCTTAAGGACCAAGCCACCCAGGCACCCCAGTTTTGTTTTGTTTTTTAAAGAAGCATAAAATTTTAATGTAAACTTCTGTACAATTTTACTTGGATATTTAAATAATAGAAGATTGAGGAATAAATTAGTAGCCCTTCATGCGAATTCAAATACAGGACTTTCTAAGTTTTCTTATTAGTTGAAAGCTATGGATGCTATGAAAGAATTATAATAAACTATGCTTACCATAAGTATTTTGTAGAAATATTCCAGTTATCCACAGTCCATCTCCTTTGTTCTTTATATAGACTATAAATCAACAATGACCCTTCTCATGGAACAGTGAAATACACTAAACAGTTGTTTTACTTTTTTTGTTCTATACAAGTTTCAATTAATTAATCAATTAATTAAAAGCTAATATATATCCTGACTAATATTTAGAACACAATAATGTCTCTAGCAAAGTCGTGTGACTACTTTGGGCTGGTACGCTAATAAATAGAGATAAACTATGACCATCATTGCCATGATTTTATTAAGGCCCCAGAATTTGGCTTAGATCAACCATTTTCTCTTTCACAAATGGTGTTTCTCCCCGTCCCCCCCCCCCTAAAATGGATATAGCTTCATTTTTCTTCCAAAGCAATACGTGCAAAGTCTAAAAAATTACCACTGGCTATTTAAAGCTACAAAACTTTTTAGATTCATAAGCATTTAATTTCTCTAATTAAAAAGGAATTCAAGGGGCACCTGGGTGGCTCAGTCGGTTAAGCGTCTGCCTTCGGCTCAGGTCATGATCCCTGGGTCCTGGGATGGAGCCCCACATCAGACTTCCTGCTCAGTGGGAAGTTTGCTTCTCTCTCTCCCACTCCCGCTGCTTGTGTTCCCTCTCTCACTGTGTCTCTCTCTGTCAAATAAATAGGTAAAATCCTTTAAAAAAAAAAAAAAGGGAATTCAAGATACTGTTCATATATTACCCAAGGGTCAACATCAGTCAAGAATAGCCTTTGCTGGGGCACCTGGGTGGCTCGGTCGGTCGTTAAGTGGTCTGCCTTTGGCTCAGGTCATGATCCCGGGGTCCTGGGATCGAACCCCGCATCGGGCTCCCTGCTCAGCGGGAAGCCTGCTTCTCCCTCTCCCACTCCCCCTGCTTGTGTTCCTGCTCTCGCTATCTCTCTCTATCTGTCAAAAAAAAAAAAAAAAGAATAGCCTTTGCTCCTCAAACGATCTTTAACATCCTAAAACTAAAATGGTAAGAATAGCCTTTGCCGATAGCGTAAACACAAAGCTGAGTACTCTGAATATTCCTCCTGTCTCACTGGTTGTTATTCTTCTGTCTCCTTTCCTCTGATAGCTCTTCTCCCTGCCTACTAATGTTCAAGTGTCCCAGGGCTCGGTCCTCTGTTCTTTCCTTTTCTTTTTTTTTTTTTTTTTTAGTAAGTGGTGGGAGCCAGGGAGTAGCTCCTATGACTTCTTTTTTTTTTTTTTTAAGATTCCACTTATTTATTTGACAGAGAGAGAGAAAGAGCACATGCAGGGGGAGTGGCAGAGGCAGAGAGAGAGGGAGAAGCAGGCTCCCCGAGGAGCGGGGAGCCTGATGCGGGGCTCGATCCCAGGACCCCTGGGATCACGACCCGAGCCGAAGGCAGTCGCTCAACCGAGCCACCCAGGCAGCCCTGTCCTCTTCTCTATTACTCACGCCCTCATCTAATCTCATGTTTGTAAAAACCTCTTGAAACTTCCAAAATTATACCTCTAAGTATTTCCTTAACACTCCAGCCCCATATCTGCTGCCAGCTCTGCATCTCCACTCGGAGGTCCAGTAGACATCCCACACTTAACATGTCCAAAACCAAACTCCAAGTCTTCCCCCTCTAAATCTGTTCCACCCCGACTTTCTCCAGCTCAGCTGATGGCAGTGCCGACTCTCTAGTAGCTTAGGCCAAAAGTCCTGGAGTCATCCTTTTCTTTTCCCTTTCTCTCACTCCCTACACCCAATTCATGAGAAAACCTGTTGGTTCCATTTTCCAAATATATCCAAAATCTGACCATGTCCCACTACCTCCCTTCCTATTACTCTGGCCTGAGTCTCTGTTGTCTCTTGCCTGGACTGATGCAGTAGCTTCCTCATTGACCTTGCTTTTTCTCTTTGTCCCCACCCTTCTCGGTCTTTTAAAAAGGCTGCTAGAGTAGTCCTTGAACCGTAAGTCAGATTATGCCACAGATTAAGCCTCTGCACACTCTACCTTTCCATCTTTCCATTCCAGCCACACTAGCATTCACCTGTTCCATTAACATATCAGGCACATGCCTGCCTCAGGACCTCTGCACAGCTGCTCAGTTTGCCTGCCGTGCTCTGTGCCCAAATAAACACATGCTTGCTTCTCTCCTGGTTTAAATGTTACTTTCTGGGGCGCCTGGGTGGCTCAATCTCGTCTCATTCAACACTCCGCTTAGCAGAATTTTTTTTAAGTTTGGAGCATTTGGATTATGTCGACTTGTTGATGCAGATTTTTTCCTTGTTTTTAAGTTCCTCTGGCCTTTTCAGTTGTAGTTTGTCAGGAGCCAAATATAAATTGGTGCTTGGAAGTCCAAAGAGTATATAATTTAATAATTACCAGGAGGGTGTGTACAAAATCTTCCATCTCTTTTGCACTTGGAAATAAGCTTGCTAAATGATTTCAGGATGCAGCTAAATTTGGGGACTGCTGGAACAGATGATCAGTGAGGCTTCTCTTCAGGATTTAGATGAAAGGCAAAATCTTGTGCTGATTATAAATGTACCTGAGAGCCCTTAAGCAGCACCCTCAATTGGTTACCACTTAGCTGCTTTTTTTGTTTCAGTTCTTTTTTTTTTTCCAAAACCAAAAGGCAGGGGTGCCTGGGTGGCTCAGTAGGCTGAGTGTCTGTGTTCAGCTCAGGTCATGATCCCAGTGTCCTGGGATGGAGCCCCACATCGGGCTCCCTGCTAAGTGGAGAGTCTGCTTCTCCTTCTCCTCCCCACTCGTGCTCTTTCTCACTATTTCTGTCTTTCTCTCTCAAATAAATATATAAAATAAAAAAAATTCAAAACAAAACAAAAACAAAACCAAAAAGCATTAATCAGAATATCCAGTTAGCATCACTGCTTGAGGGGTGTTTCCAATTAGATTTTTTTTCTTGTAATTTTCCCATAGTTGAGTGACACCATTCCTTGTAGGATTCAATGTTAAATACCATAATTATGGGATCAAGTCATTTACCCATTTAAAAATATTTATTGATTTCTTATCATGTGCCAATACCAGAGGTGGATCCAGTTTGGCTTGAAACTTATTGCAAATCTGTGGGCCCTCTTTTAAAAAATAAAAGGAGAAGGAAGAGAAGGAGGAGAAAGAGGGGGAGGGGGAGAAGGAGAATAATACAAAATTATAAATCCCAGGAAGATGGACTAGAAGTATATTTCCCCATTCCTCCTAGTAAGTACAACCCAAACCCCTAGACACTATGTATAAAACCCTTTTCTGAAGGGTGTAGAAAAGAAGTCAGACTGGCTAGGGGCCTTGGGACCCAAGAATGACATGGTGATGAGTTTTCTTTTTGCCTCAGATATTCCAGACTTAGAGATAAAGAAGCCAGGAACCTGGGTAGGCCAATGAGCACAGACAAAAAAAAGCCCCTGGAACAGCCTGCTCCCTCTAGCCAGAGAAGGACGAAGACTTGAAGGTAGGAGGACTTGTTTCTAGTCAAGGCTCTGCTGTTAACACTGTGTCTTGGTAAACACTCCCTCTCCTGCTCTCCATTGTCAGCCGGTAGCTAAGTCCAGCATTTTAATTCCAAGTTGGAAGAGGAAAGGAGTTGTGGGGTTTTTTTATTTATTTTTTTTTATTAATTTATTTGAGAGAGAATGAGATAGAGAGAGCATGAGACGGGGGTGGGTCAGAGGGAGAAGCAGACTTCCTGCTCAGCAGGGAGCCCGACTCGGGACTCAGTCCTGGGACTCCAGGATCATGACCTGAGCCGAAGGCAGTCACTTAACCAACTGAGCCACCCAGGCGCCGTGTTTTTTGTTTTGTTTTGTTTTTTTAAAGATTTTATTTATTTATTTGAGAGAGAGAATGAGAAAGAGAGAGCACGAGAGGGGGAAGGTCAGAGGGAGAAGCAGACTCCCCGCTGAGCAGGGAGTCCGATGCGGGACTCGATCCCGGGACTCCAGGATCATGACCTGAGCCGAAGGCAGTTGCTTAACCAACTGAGCCACCCAGGCACCCTGTTTTTTTTTTTTAATTAAAGATTTTATTTATTTATTTGACACAGAGAGAGAGTGAGAGGGAACACAAGCAGGGGGAGCGGCAGGCAGAGGGAGAAGCAGGCTTCCTGCTGAGCAAGGAGCCCCATGGCGCCCCACTGAGCCACCCAGGCGCCCCAAAGAGTTGTGTTTTAAGCAAAGTTTACTTTTCACTGCTTAGAATAGAAGTAATTGTACACTGTAGAACACTTCCAGCTTGAGAAATGTATTAAAAAAAATCTCACCATCCAGAAGAAATCACTGGGATCCAGCCCCGCATCAGGCTCCCTGCTCAGCCGGGGAGCCTGCTTCTCCTTCTCCGAGCTCTGCCTGCTCCTTCTCCTGCTTGTACTCTCTCTCTCTCTCAAATAAATAAATAAATCTTTAAAAATAAATAAATAAATAAATCTTTAGGGGTGCCTGGGTAACTGAAATGGTTAAGCGTCTGCCTTTGGCTCAGGTCATTCTCTCAGGGTCCTGGGATTGAGACCCACATCAGGCTCCCAGCTCCGCTTCTCCTTCTCCCTCTGTCTCTCCCGCTGCTTATGTGCTCTCTGTCTCTCTCTCTCTCAAATGAATAAATAAAATCTTTTAAAAAAATCTTTAAAAATAAAAAAAAATAAAAGGACCCAGGATGAATGGCCCAAGTATCCAGAAGAAATAATTTCTATTTTCACTACTAGTTAATAAATCTTAGCTTATCTTCATCTTAATTTTTACTGCTGTGTAAATCTCAAAAGCAAAGTACCTCATACAGAATGGGTGCTTAGTAAATTAGGTAATGAATTATAAATATTGTTTTCCAGTTAGCCAAAAATGATGTTGTTTACAATGAATGGGATTTGAGAGCTAATGTCTTTATAGGCAGTGAATTAATAGTAAATTACACCCACTAAGCTAATCATCTACTTTCTTTAATAAAACACATACACACAGAGCACTTAGGGCATGGACCATAACAGCATACATAGCAAGATAAACAATGAGTGGGATGTCAGGTTATGACTTCAAAGTTCAGAAGAAGCAGTTCTAAGTCCACTGACAAAACCTTTCTTTTAAAGAACTGGATACAGTGTAGTTAGTAAATCACTCTCCTATAGTCACAATGTATAATAAAAACCTAATCATGCCAACTAGTGTATTTGGAGTAATGCTTAATTCCCAATTGAAGGAAGGAGGTTTGATGTTCTCTGATTTAGAAAAAAACAGACCCTGCTTCTATTAAGATTAATATTTATAAATACTACATATAATAATAAAAAAATGGAACACGAAGAAGAGGACTAAGGGACAACAAAAGGTAAAAGAAAATATATTCCCTAATATTTTATGCATATAATACCTTCAAAAAACCTAATCTGAATTTTAAAAATCATTTTTATTACATATATGTTATATATTATTTATATATAAATATATATATACTTTTTAAAAGATTTTTTAAGATTTTATTTTTAGCAATCTCTACACCCAACATAGGGCTTGAACCTACAACACCGAGATCAAGAATCCCATGCTCTACCGACTGAGCCAGCTAGGCACCCCTTATTATTTTAAGTATATTACAATTATATATAATTATTATTTTTATCACATGCAAACATGATACAAAAACTCCTATACCAAATATAGACCATTGAATTTTTTGTGTTATATACTTAAAAATTTTTAACAGCTGGAGATTGACATCTGGCATGATAGTGCGAGGAGTTTCCACTGACCTACTCACCAATGAATCTGTAAAAATTATTTTCAAAAACCAATCATTTAGAAGTGTCTGGTTGGCTCACTGAGTGAACATGCTGCTCTTGATCTCAGGGTTGTAGGTTTGAGCCATGTTGGGTGTAGAGATTACTCAAAAATAAGATCTTAAAAAAAAAAGGCATTTAAAGCCTCTAGAAATGGCCCTAAGTATAAACAAAACATGAAGAAACATCTATTCAAGAAAATGTGTGAAAATTGGGTAAGAAGGGCAAGAGTCTTTAGTACTGAATGAACCAAGACAACCCCCTCACTTTTCCCCAGTTCAGCAAGGCAGAGACTGTAGGGTTTCTTATTCCCCCAGGTCCGAGTGGGAGGACTTTCTTTCTGGGAGGAGCAGAACATCAGCTTTTCTCATCCTTCCCCCATCCACTTGTTTTGAGGCTAAGTCCTGAGTAAGTATGGTTGAGAAGTGGGACTCCTTTCTTCTGCCCAGCTCCCACTCATGAAATGGAGGCTCTACTATGGGTGTAACATGCTGAGAATACCGAGACTGTGATCATCCTTGCCCTGGCTCATAAAGTAGTGGGTCCATGCCAAGAGAAGCAAGCCAAGAAGATCCCATAGGGCTGCACTGTGCACCCCCCACCCCAACAACAAGCACTTGGCTCCTAGAGTGGGCATGTTATTCAGAGAGAAGCTTGCCTTCCCTGGCTTTAGAACCCTTGCTCAGAGATTTTGCCTGGTAGGAGAAGCATATCATAAAAAAGATAACTTTACTAATCTCTTCCCAAAAGAACTGACTTCATTTGCAACAGAGCATGGAGATGATCAAGTCTAAGAGTACCCACAACCAAAGTGCAGGTTATAATGAAAGGCAATCGAGAGGAGATCTCTGACACAAGCTAAACTATAGGCTGGTTTTTATAAGAGAACTGGAAATGACAGCTGAGGTCAGAAAAAATATCAAACACTGAACTCAGAAACTCTTCCTTCAAGTGAACCTTGACTGGAGTAATTTGTAGACCAATTTATGCCCAGGCGCAAACTTAAAAATAGAGCAATCAGCTGGAAATTAGTGATGTTTAACAGCTGGGTGTGGTCTCAAGGAACGAGAGGAAGACAGCTCTACCAAAACCACTGTCATTTCAGTGTAATTGTGGGCATACCCAAAACTGCCCTTTTTCTGAGGAGCAACACCAGAGGCTTACCACCATGCAAGGGCATAGTAAGGAGGGGAGATGTCATTGAAATAATCCAGCCAGGCCCTAAATAAATAAGCATGTAACAAGTCCCAGAAAGCAGTGAGGACCAATACTCAGAGTTACTACAAGCTACAATATATTGTCTGAAACATCCAGTTTCCAACAAAAACTATGACAAATGCAAAGAAACAGAATAGTTTGACCATACCCCAGGAAAAAGCAGGCAGCAGAACTTGTCTAAGAGAGTGACCAGATATCAGATTTATCAGAAAAAGACATCAAAGAAGCTATTATGAACATGTTCACAGAAATAAAGGAAGCCATAATTAAAGAAGTAAAGGTAGGTATAATGACAATGTTCCTTCAAATATCAATAAAGATGTAGAAATCATAAAAAAAAGGAAACTATGAAGTTGAAAATTAAAATGAATGGAAATTTAAAACTCATGAGAGGGGCTCAACAGTACATTTGAACTGCAGAAGAAGGAATAAGTAAACTTGAAGATAGGTCAATAGAGGTTATGCAAACTGAAGAACAAAGAGAACAAAAGGAATGAAGAGAGATGAGCCTCAGAGAAATGTGGGACACATTTCATAAAAACATACATATTGGGAGTATCAGAAGAGAGGAGAGAGAGAAAAGAGCAGATAAAAATATTTGAAGAAATAAGAAATGTTCTCAAATTTACTGAAAAACAATGATCAAAGCTAGACAAAGACATGACAAGAAAAAACATACTGCGGGCTAATATCTCTTAGGAGTATGGGTGCAAAAAATCTTCAACAAGGTACTAACAAACTGAACCCAGTAACCTAAAAAAAAGAATTACAGGGCACCTGGGTGGCTGAGTGGGTTGTGTCTGACTCTTGATCTCAGCTCAGGTCTTGATCTCAAGTCTTGAGTTCAAGTCCAGTATTGGGCTCCGCATTCAGTGTGGAGCCTACTTAAAAAAAAAAAAAAAAAAAATTATACACCATGACCAAGATTTACCTGAAAAATGCAAGGTTGGTTTAACATATGAAAACCAATTAAGAAATCATAACAACAGGGGTGCCTGGGTGGCTCAGTTGTTAAGCGTCTGCCTTCGGCTCAGGTCATGATCCTGGGGTCCTGGGATCGAGCCCCGCATCGGGCTCCCTGCTCAGCGGGAAGCCTGCTTTTCCCTCTCCCACTCCCCCTGCTTGTGTTCCTTCTCTCACTGTCTCTCTCTCTGTCAAATAAATAAATAAAATCTTAAAAAAAAAAAAAAGAAATCATAACAACAGAGTAAAAAACAAAAATCAAATGATCAATCTCAATATATGTAGAAAAAGCGCTTGGTAAATTCCAATACTACACTTTCATGATAAAAACCCCTCAACAAGGGGCACCAGGGTGGCTCAGTCGGTTAAGCAGCTGCCTTCAGCTCAGGTCATGATCCCAGGGTCCTGGGATGAAGCCCTGCATCAGGCTCCTGCTAAACTTCTTCCTCTCCCTCTTCCCTTCCCGCCACTTGTGTGCTCTCTCTCTCCCCCCCAATCAAATAAATAAA